GGTCTCAAACTCCTGACCTCAGGTGATCCACCTGCCTCAGCCTCCCAAAGTGCTGGGATTACAGGTGTGAGCTACTGCACCCAGCCTAAAAGAGTTTAATTTCTTTGTTGAACTTCCTATGTAAGGTCTGCAGAAGCAATGAAGGTTTATATAGTGATTCAGTTCAGACAGCATCTCTGTTCAGTGTCTACAGGCTTGGGGTCGATACACCTGAGGAGACTCATCAAGCATTCATCCCACATGGTCTTCTCTGAAGTTGTAATGAACACTGTCGCAGTATACTCAAGATTCAGAAGCTACCCCAGGCCTTTTAAGCTTCAATCCATGATAAATTGCATCAGTTTTTGCTGAGCAATTAAAAATACTTTTACAACGAAAAATTCCATACATTTATGAAAATAAAACGAATAGCATAATAAACTCCATGTACCCACTACTCAGCTGCTGCAATGAACAGCAAAAAGTCACTCGTGTTGTTTCTACACTTCCACACACTCCGCCTCACAACTGGATTGATATGAAGCAAATCTCAGTATCATATTACTTCACCCAGAAATACTTTGGTATGAGTTTCTAAAAGATAAGGGTCTGTTTTTTAAAACATACCATAATATCATCATTATACATAAAAAATTGAGAGTAATTCCTTGGTATCAAACGTTCAGTACTGTTTCAAATTCCTTCTACTGTATATAGACTGTGCCCAAATTATGATGGCTCAGCTTACCATTTACTTTACAATGGTGTGAAAGCCAGACACAATTCAGGAGAAACCACACTTCAAGTCAAATTCTGTACTAAAAGTGACAAACAGAATGGTTGTATGGGTATACAATGGTTCTATACCCGTACAGCCATTCTGTTTGTCACTTTTAGTACAGAATTCAATAAGTTACACTGGCTATTTAATATTTTATTATAAAATGGCCTTTGTGTAGAAAATTTTGCCCAACCGTAGGCTAACGTAAGTGTTCTAAGCACATTTAAGGTACTATGCTAAGCTATGATGATATTTGGTTAGGTGTATTAAATGCATTTTCAACTTATAATATTTTCATTTTACAATGGGTTTATCAGGACATAAATGTCAGAGGTGTTCGAACCTGAGCAACTCCATCTTCCATAGGAGCTGGGTAAAATAAGGTTGAAACCTACTGGGCTATGTTCCCAGATGATTAAGGCATTGTAAATCATGGGATGAGACAGGAGGTCAGCACAAGATACAGGTCAGAAAGACCTTGCTAATAAAACAGATTGCAGTAAAGAAGCCAGCTAAAACCCACCAAAACCAAGATGGCGACAAGAGTGATCTCTGGTGGTCCTCACTGCTACACTCCCACCAGCACCATGACAGTTTACAAATGCCATGGCAACGTCAGGAAGTTACACTATATGGTCTAAAAAGGGGAGGCATGAATAATCCACCCCTTGTTTAGCATATCATCATGAAATAACCATAAAAATGAGCAACCAGCAACCCCTCTTCCTGAGAGGTACCCAAAAACCTCCTGTTCTTGTCCTGGTGTAGCTACCCATATCTCCATGAACTCCTCCCACAGAAGGGAAGAGCAGTTCCCAGCTATGTATACCATTGGGTATTAGTCAGGGTTCTCCAGAGAAACAGAACAAATAAGATATGTATCCACACATAACAGATCTATTACAGGAACTGGCTCACACAGTTATGGAGGTTGAGAAGTTCCAAGATCCACATCTGCAGGCTAGAGATCCAGAATATATATACATATATATCTCTCTCTCCTATTAGTCCTAGTTCCTATAATATATAATAGGATATATGTGTGTGTGTGTATGTATATAATAGGATATATATGTACATATATATATATATATCCTATTAGTTCTGTCCCTCTAAGAGAACCTTGACTAATACAAGGCACAACTTAGGAAAGTTAAAGTCTCTCCTAAAACAGAGTGGGTTAGAGGACCCTCTTAATAAAAGGCAAGGATGCTAGACTGACCTTGGGTTAGAGGTCCAATTTAGGAGGGTGAGAGTGTCTTCTAAGGTTTAGGGGGTTAGAGGCCCCTCTTGATAAAGTCCATTTTGGCTAAGAATGGGTTTGGCACTACAGGATGTTATCTGCTATTCTCTCTGAATTAGTCTGCCTTGCACTGTTTGCTGATGGCTGTGGGTGACAGGATAAGGCATGTACAGGATCGTGGGACATGGGGGGCATTTTTCTCCTTAAAAAGGGAAACTTGAATGCTGATGCGACTGCTGGAAAAAATTCCTTCACTACCGACAAGCAGCTGCCTGAACTTTTCAGTATCACTGCAATGGGTGGGTCTTTTCTCTGGCCTTCGTGAGCTCTTCGCCTTCCCCACCCTGCCTCAGGCAATGCTTCCTCTGTGTGTCTCTCTGTGTGCAAACTGGGTGATTAATGGTAAAAATCACTGTTTATTTCCCCTGTAAAGTTTTAATTAACAATAACTTAAAAGGTTTTGCTAGGCTAGTCGTAAGCTGTAGCAAATTTGGTGTGCTTTGTGTGTCTTTCTGTGTTCTATAATGGAGAGGGGTACCGTAGGATAGAACAGGGTCGTAGGACCCCTATAAGCCTGCTTTTCAAGATGGCCCAGCAAACTGGTCAGTTACAAACTGCTGCAGGTCTCTGGAAAAGAAAAAAAAAACTGGATGAAGTTTCCTTCTTGTCTTGTATGTCCTTGGGAGCCTGACCTTGTAACCATGTAGCCATGTTTTCTGTTTTCACAATGGCTACCATGGTTCAGGGTTCAATTCCCGGCTTAGGAGATGAGTCCTTTATCTTCTGTCTGTGTATTTATACGTGTTGTATGCGATGTTTATATCTAAGAGAGCTTTAATTGATTGTTTAATAATAATAAGCATGTAAATCAAATATTTGTCAGAAAAGGAAGTGTAATGCTTTTCATTTAGTTCATGCAACTTAATTAGTCTTTGGGAAATAAAGACAGTTTTACAGATTTTTGATAAAATAAAAATATCAGCCAGGCATGGTGGCTCATGCCTGTAATCCTAGCACTTTGGGAGGCCAAGGCAGACAGATCACCTGAGATCAGGAGTTCAAGACCAGCCTGACCAACATGGTGAAACCTTGTTTCTACTGATAATACAAAAATTAGCCAGGCCTAGTGGTGCGCACCTATAGTCCCAGTTACTCGGGAGGCTGAGGTAGGAATTGCTTAAACCCAGGAGATGAAAGCTGCACTTAGCTGAGATCGTGCCACTGCACTCCAGCCTGGGTGATAGAGTGAGACTCTGTCTCAAAAAATAAAAATATAATAAATAAATAAATAAAAATATCTTTAAAATGCAAACATTTGGTCTAAAGGTTGCAGGTCAGATATTAAGTTTGCTAAATTTGCATTAAGATCATACACTGCTTCTTTGACTTTTGAAAACTGTTCAGTTTACCTACTTTGGAGCATTAGATTCTAGATAAGGCCTGGGGACATGTAAAAAAGATTAAATGGTAAATATATTTTAAAGCGAAAGTATCCAGAATTTAATTAGTGACAATCTAACAATAACACTGAAAACTAAAGATGTAAAAACTCTTGTGAGCAGTAACAAAAGATAGTTTATGTTTCCCTAAATAATGCAACAAAGGATATTTTAGGGATCTTTTAAGTTAATTTTGTTTTACTGTTAGATTGTTACCAAGTAACTTCTAAGATTTGCTGCAACTTAATTCCTATGCCTAAGCCTATTTGGCTTAAAGAGAAAGTATGTAATGAGACAAACACACTTGCCTGTTCCTTAGCACTGGGAACAAGGGGCAACAAACACCACCTAAGGGAAAGTGATGAGAAAAAAAAAAAGGACAATGGTCAAATACTGAGCCAAGATGGGAGTTAGTCTTTAGCATACATTAATCATTTAACCATTCATAACAGCACCACAGGATAGGAACTGTATTTAAGAGTCGATCATTAGTTCAATTCCTCCTTAAGGATGAGAAACTGAGTCAGAGGGAAAGAAAATGACCTTCCAAAGAGCATCAAGTGGGTGGAAGAATTGGTCTGGAATTCAGGTTTTCTGATGTTCAGTTCGGGCCCTAAAAGTGCCTTGGCCATTAAGTTATAACTATGCCTAAAAATAAAGTGTTAATTTGAGATAAAATCAGTTTTGTTTCAGGATTATTACTCTCTGAGAGAGAGAAAGAAAATATCTACTACTGAAGAAGTAGAGTGTTGCCTTTAATAAACCCTCCTTCCCAACCCTTTCCATTAATAATTGAGCATTTAAATGTCAAAGACAATTTGAGTATACAGAGAAAAAGCTAACATGTAACAAACAGGTTGGAACCAAAATGTCTTTTATTTGAATACTGAATACATTCTGTTAGGACATAAGAGTGTGCTAAAAATGAAATTTTTTGGCTGGGTGTGGTGGCTCAAGCCTGTAATCCCAGCACTTTGGGAGGCCGAGGCGGGTGGATCACGAAGTCAAGAGATCAAGACCATCCTGGTCAACATGGTGAAACTCCGTCTCTACTAAAAATACAAAAAATTAGCTGGGCATGGTGGCGCGTGCCTGTAATCTCAGATACTCTGGAGGCTGAGGCAGGAGAATTGCCTGAACCCAGGAGGCGGAGGTTGCGGTGAGCCGAGATCACACCATTGCACTCCAGCCTGGGTAACAAGAGCAAACCTCTGTCTCATAAAAAAAAAAAAAAAAAGAAATTTTTTAAGGAAAAAAATAGCACTGGCAGCAATACAATTAAAATGGAAAAAGTATAATTTCTAATTATTTCAAATATAACATAAATGACAGATACAGTAGCATTCTGTGAACTCCACTTAAGAATTCGTTTATGTGATAAGTTATAGTTTAAGCTTCCTTGAGACATGAGTATTTGGAATTTTCAAACAATACCAACTATATAAAAAATAGGCACAGCAAATGAAAGAGCGTATCATGATTCATTAGACACTTTCAATGAAAAGAGGACTTGCCAATTAGAAAACAGTAAAAATTTTTACATTAGAAAAAAAATTACCTCAAACTCATGTTCATATTAGAAGTGACAGAGCTACTCGTGTTTCTAGCATTCCATCTTGAAGTTTATCGTTTAAATACAAAGAATATGCTCTGCCCATTATAGCAGGATGACATGAACTTAATTTTCAGTTCCTCCAGATGCTCAGAGCAGCAACAAGACGAGTCTTAGGATCATCATGAGGCTGGATTTAAAATAAAAGAAAGGCAAAGGGAGAGTCACTTTTATCTGGCATAAGACAGAAAGGGCCATGCGCTGCCTACCCGGTAGTGTTACTAAGCTTTGGCTCGGGGGCTCTCCCAGCTCAACCCCTTGGAGGATTATAATATCCCAGACACAACTGAATTAGCCACTTAAAAATGTTCACTACATGAATAAAAAAAAATCAGAACTTTCTGTCCTGAAAATCTTGAATGAGGGTCTATAAGAGAAAGGTTTGGGAAGAAACTAACTTTCAAAAGCTAGTAAAATAAAGCTACTTGAAAAAATAACTGAGGACTAATTAGAGGGAGTTACTAATTCAGTTTCACCTACTTTCTATTAACTGAGGCCTTCTTCTGGTTCCATAAACCCTACTTCTTCTCTTTTTTTTTTTTTTTTTTTCCTGATTAAGTCTCACTCTGTCATCCAGGCTGAAGTGTAGTGGCACAATCTTGGCTCACTGCAACCTCTATCTCCTGAGCTCAAGCAATTCTCCTGCCTCAGCCTCCCAAGTAGCAGGAATTACAGGCATCTGCCACCACATTCGGCTAATTTTTGTATTTTTAGTAGAGATGGGGTTTTGCCATGTTGGCTAGGCTGGTGGTCTTAAACTCCTGACCTCAAGTGATCCACCCACCTCAGCCTCCCAAAGTGCTGGGATTATAGGCATGAGCCACCGCATCCAGCCCATAAACCCTACTTCTGATTCTTCCCACCACCAAGTATCACTTTTAGAACAGGGCTATAACTGGAGAGCCATCTTTTGTAATCATACTGTGTTCCCCTCCATGAAACATAATACATAGTCACACTAGAAAATTCTACACAAAAGTAGAAAGAAGAACATTAAAATTATTCACCACACTACCACCCACAGAAAAACACTACTAAGAGTTTGAAATATTTCCATCCTCTTTTTTATACACAAACATTTTTAATCACACTATATTTGGTTATTTGCTGCCCTGTTTTTATACCTTATTATGTCACTAAGATTTCCCACTGCCACTAAATGATCTTTGAAAACATGAAATGTAATGCTCACTCAATATTCCATTAAATGGACAAAACGTTTAAACATCTCCTTACTGGTGAACTGTTAGGGTATTCTTAAGTTTTTCCTCTGTTGAGTTTTCATTAGAAACAAAATTGCAATGAACCTCAGTCTTTGTGTATATCTCATTGCTTTGGAATAAATTCCAAAAAGTGAAAATGTATATCAGAGGAAATAAACATGCTTATGGCTTTCAACATATACAGTCAGCTTTCTGGAGAAATTTTTTAAATGTTATCTCTAAAATTTTATTTGGTAATAGGGATAGAATTACTGGATCAAATTAAGAGAAACGAGGCTGTTTGTCTTTTAAAAAAATATTAAACTTTTCTCTTAAAAACTATTAGAAATATTAAATTTCTCTCCCTTAAAAACTTGAAATAACTGCATCGCACTGTCACTTTGTCAAACTCTCTAAAAGAGACTGAGTATTAGATTTAAATGAACACATTTACTGTTGCAGATGGGTAATCTTGAGGGAAAATGAGGCTGAGTTTAGCTCTTTCTTCTGAAAAAGGCAAATATGCCTATATGACCAGATACTACAGCAGCACTATGCGTATTCAATAAGAATGTTCATGGGTACATCAATATCAAAGACCCACTGAATCCATGGTATCTCGAGGTTTTTACTGTCATGCTTACTGTAACAAAAAGGACTTTGATCTTTCAAATTAAAATGCATTTTTCCCAAAAACGCAGCACTTCAAAGAACAGCAGAGGAAAGTATTGATCAAAACAGTTTTATTTACCTTAAACCTGCAACCAGACCAGCAGGCATTATTTTCTTGGACCTCTTAAATCTCACACCCATTATGGTGGCCAGGAAGAAAGCTGTAACTGAAAACCAAACTAATTCATGAACTAGAGTTTCAAACATGTTATCAATGCTTGTAGGAACAAAAAAATGGGTATCGTTTAAAGCTTTCTAACATTACAACTATTATGGATAGGTACTGAGTTGCCATTGTCTTAAAAAGATAAAGTGCTCTGTTAAAACACTTCATAATCTACTTCATCAAAAATGTTTCTGGGTAAACAAACATGTTAAAATCTACTCCTGAAATGTCTTCAAAAGATACAGACTTTTTTCTCTTTTTTTTTTTTTGTTGAGACAGGGTCTTGCTCTGTCACCCAGGCTGGAGTGGTGTAGTGGCATATCTCAGCTCACTGTAACCTCCGCCTCCGGGTTCAAGGAATTCTCCTGCCTCAGCCTCCCGAGTAGCTGGGATTACAGGTACGTACCACCATGCCCAGCTAATTTTTGTATTTTTAGTAGAGACAGGGTCTTGCTATGTTGGCCAGGCTGGTGTTGAACTCCTGGCCTCAAATGATCTGCCAGCCTCGGCCTCCCAAAGTGTTGAGATTACAGGCGTGAGCTACCACACCTAAGAAATTCTTTTTCTAACCTAAATTTCTATTTAAAGAACACTCCTTGAAGACTAGCACTGAGCTTTATTCAACTTCTCTCAGAAACACAAAGCAGCACACTTGGACCCACAGGAGACACTCAATAAATGCTTAGTTAACGGAATATAAAGAAAATGGTTAATATATCTCTTACAAGAAAGATCTGATTAATTTTAAAAAATACTAAAAAGAAGGCTGATTGGTTTGGTTTCATAGCATTCCATTTTGGAGAATTTGATGCCTGGAGACTAAAAAATCGTCTAAGCAATCATGTTTTATTCAGAAACATCATCATGTCAGCCTTTGTGGAGCTGTACCAACATGAAGGGAGAGGTGGTTTTATCTGAGATTAGATAGCAATGCTTTCAAACAAAAACTTTTGATATAAAAAATAACTGACAAGAGACACTTGTGAACTATTTAAATGCATATAAATAAAAATCCTAATATCACTATATCTGGCTGATACATCTAACACAACCTCATTACTAAAAATATCCCTAGCCCCTTTTAAGAATAACTAAAGAAAAAAAAAATCCCAAATCTCTCTCTCTCTCCTTCAAATGTAGAACAATTTTGTCTTCATTTATATCTTCTTCCATACACAACCAAGGCACTTTGAATCAACTAGAGACAATTTCCTTGGTATACTTTTCTAAACCTTCCCTGTATATCTCTTTCAAGTGAGATGAAAGTCAAGTGTCCTGTTGAGTTTAAACACACAGGTTTCCATTTTTTCTGTAGATATTCTCCCACTAAGCTTAACAAGGGAAGAAGCTAAAAAAGTATCAGCCTTGCTTTTTTAGGTTAAGTCTTTAGGCAGTGCAGAATCTCAACGCTGTTTGTGAACTAAATGAAACGATGCAAGGCTGTCTCTTTTTAGTTACTTTCACTGCAAAGTAAAAACTATGCTAAATATCCATTTAGGAGAGTTCACAGAAAATCTGAAAATAAGTCCTGCCTTTTCCTAATTCAACTTTTCTATTAACAAGTTTTTATAGAAATACTGTTCTGAGTGCAAGGCCTGGTAGCAGTGACATCATTTTTTGTCAGGTCTTTCTAGAAAGGAGTAAGTGTTGTGTTCCGCCTCAGCACATGCATATGGCCATTTGCCATTTGACTAAATATGTTCCAGTATCTCTAGCATGGAGTATCAAAAAGATCACCTGCAACGTTTGAGTCTCTAACTTGGGAAAAATGCTATACTTACACAGTGACACTTTTACATCTCGTTTGTCGTTGGAGACACGGTAAGCGCCATAGCCAGCCAAACAGCCAACAAAAAGACCAGCAATCAAAGACAAAACACCACCTGGGAGGGGAAAAAAATATGGGCTCAAAAGAGAATCCCAAAATGAAAGGAAATCATTCCATTTATTTCTGGTATGATACAGGCACCTTCAAATGTACTGCTACTTGGGCACAGTAACTGGACAAAGCCAAATTAAGAATAGGACTCTTCATGGATACTCTCTAGGAGACAACTGTTTCATGCTGAACCCAAACGCAAGTCAGAGAAGCCCTGAAGGTGCAGCAATGAAGGGAGTTAGATGTCACTTGGGGGAATAAGAGAACCTGCCTTGTGCTGGCGGATTGGACACTGATTGCACGATCTTGGGCAATTATTTAACTTCCTTAAGCCCTTCTTTTTAAATTTTTCCTATTCTCGTTGCCTCCTTTTTACTATGAGGTTGTACTGATTAAACCTAAGATGCAAAAGTAGTTTTAGTTCATAGAGGTAAAGACATAAGTTCTGTAGAAACCAAGCCATGGTTCCATCCTGAATAACTAACAACTTTCAAGCCTCAAGATGTCAGGACTTAGGGACTAATGGAGACCCTGCTGAGAAAGAGGAAAACCAAAATACTGCCTCCAGCTCCCCAGCTCCCATCCCATGCACCCACCCACCAGTACACTCCAGCCCTCAACCCATACACCCACCCAAGAGCACTGCAACAAACACCAAGCACTTTGCGCATTGGGCAGTGGGTTACATGCCAGTGACGCTATGAACAAGACACACACAATCCTTGCTTCATGGAACTCATCCTATTTAGAATCTATTGGATTAGAATCCCTGGAGGGTAGGGTCAAGATATCTCTATTTTTAGGCCGGGCGCGGTGGCTCAAGCCTGTAATCCCAGCACTTTGGGAGGCCGAGGCGGGTGGATCACGAGGTCAACAGATCGAGACCATCCTGGTCAACATGGTGAAACCCCGTCTCTACTAAAAATTACAAAAAATTAGCTGGGCACGGTGGCACGTGCCTGTAATCCCAGCTACTCAGGAGGCTGAGGCAGGAGAATTGCCTGAACCCAGGGGGCGGAGGTTGCGGTGAGCCGAGATTGCGCCATTGCACTCCAGCCTGGGTAACAAGAGCGAAACTCCATCTCAAAAAAAAAAAAGAAAATACTGATTTAATACATCCCCGTTATGGGTCATGTTCAAGCAGAAGATACCAGATAAGGATACTGTTAAGGAGATTAAAGCATTTTCTCAAATGCACAACTAGGTAACCATTAAGGTGTTTTCTCATGTAGAGGTTCTATGATGCTCTTTTCTGTATATGCTGAAGATATCACCCCACTTCACCCTCCCCACCACCACCATACATGCACACTTAAGTATGAGGAGAAAGTAGCAGTGTCTACAACACTTCAGTCTTGATGGGATCAGACAGTAAACAGCAGGGGCAGGCTCACCAGCAGCAAGAACCAGGAAGATTATTGAGAAATTTCAACTGAGGAAGGTGGCGGAACTGTGGGCCGTTTTACAAGAAAGGTGTGCTGGTGTAAGGAAGCGAAGATCCTAAGAACAAGCTCAGTGCCCAATAGTGGGGGCTACAAGAAAAGCAGCTCTAAGCTCTTTCCTTCCCACTTCCTGGGATGCCTGATCTGGGCGGGGCACTCTTGGAAGGGGAGTTTTCAAGGGAGTTGAAAGATACATCTGGAAACTTCCCTGCAGATACTCTTGTGGTCCTCAGAATAGCAGCCTGTCCAGCAAGTGCACCTGCACCTCTCTGGAGGGATTGCTGTGTCGTGCCCTTCCCTTCAACTGGAGTAGGAAGGTGGAAGGTCTGGTTCAGCCCAAGTGTGGGAGAACGTAGGGAATGCCTTCTGGTCCTCTTTGGCGTTGGGCAGTCAGTGTTACTTGGCCTAGGAAGAGCCTCCATATCACAGCGTCTTCCTGGTCATCCACCTCTCTGGAGACCTAGCTGGGAGGAGCGGGGAGCCCAGGCAAGCACAGTGCCCAGCACCCTGCGTCCCACCACTGGCCACCCTCTGCCCTCACTCTCCCCCCACCAAAATAAAAATCTATCAGCTTCTCCCTTTAACCCAACTTGGTCTCACAGCTGGTCTAGTTTAGGATTTGGATACATCTGTGTCTTCCCGCCAAACACCATTTCGACATCATATCTTTCACCCACCCAAGATTATTCTCAGTAACTGTCCCGTAGCAGGGTCTCCTGGCCCAGCTACACAGGACTCATGCCTAGGGAAGCTCTAAGTCAAAGGAGTGCTAACTCACTTTACACACACATTTGAAGACATTTGGGCCACAGGCAGCTTAGAACATAATACAAAATACAAAACTAGATACAAAACTAGAAAAAGATATTATGCCTCACTGGCTCACAGACCTCCCACTGGCAGGGCAGTAGCAGCCAAAAATAAATAAATAAATAACAAGAATATTAAAAGTTTGTTCTATGCCAAGCACCATGTGAACTGTGTACCATTCATCATCTTATTTAATACTAACATTAATTTACAGGTGAGGAACTAAGGCCCAGATGTTGAAACACCTGACCTGAGTTTCAGTGCAGTAAGTGATAGTGTCAAGATTAGAAATCAGGAATGCTTGATTCTGTGGCCTATGCTTTTAACCCACATTATACTAGAGTGAGCTTCCCTGTGAACCCCTAATACCTTAGGGGCTTCCAGGATCACTCAGTGGGGGGCTCTTGCAGGAGGCCAAGGAACCATATTATGCAGGTGGACAACAAGCCCCTGAAATCAGAGACCTCACAGCTAATGTAATTTCATGTGTTCCCACCAGCTGGTAAACACTGAAGAGATTTGGGTTACAATAATAAAGTGATCCCTTCCACCCCAACACACACCCACACACCCACACAGAGAGACACACACACAGACACACGCACACAGACACACAGACACTCTCTCTCTCTCCCCACTTTCTTCCCACCTCTCAAAAAGGCAGGCAAAAATGCCCAGATATTCTTTTCTACGCTGTAACAAAAGTTATTTAGACGTTGTTTTTGACAATAAAATTTTTTTCAAAAACAATTTTATTAGCATTTTAAACCGAGTCCTCTTTAAAGTAGATTATGAATCATCAACCTTTGAGTAGTTGGTTTATAGGTTTACTTTGGTGCCATCATCTTTTTTTCCTTCGAATACATATCTATAATACATACATTATGACAGAAACAAACAAAAAACCAAGGGGAATTACAGCTTTCAGGAATCGTAGATGATGATCAATCCACCGTGCCAGCCCCCAAGCTGCAAGAGCTATACTGTGCTTCCGGTCTTTGACTCCTATCAGCCTTTATTGAAGGAAGCTAACTGGTAACCAGGTAGACCTGGCTTTTTCACTCAAATGCAAGTCAACACTGCCACAATTACAATATCCTTACTTTAAAATTTTCATTAAGAGATAGTTTGTCAGAAAGATGATTAAACATTGTACACACACACACACACACACGTATGAAACAGAAATAGGAGACAGCATGAATATAAATGATTCTACAATAAAACAAAGTGAAATAAAAAAACTTAACTTTTCCTTTTTCTCCATGAAAATCCTTTAGTTGATTACCTGAGTTTTCCCCCTTCCCCGCTTTTTGACAAAGGTGAAGAGACAATTTTGGATATGATATGAGAGTATTTAACAATTTCTTCATTGCAATACACTGGATTAATATAGCTCAGTTTTTGGTACCATGATTATATAAAGCAAAAAAAAAAAATTCTCATTTAGTAATAAGCAGTGGTCCTTAAAGAGATCAAATCAATTAACTATGCAACTGATAATGACAGGCGAAGTACGAGTCTTGTGGTGAAAGAGAGGCCCAGAACCTCCAAGCTGGAACACTCTGTCATGCCCAGCCCTCTGCTTTTCATGTAAGCCTCTTCCTTTCAGGAGTCCCTTCCATGACACGCTGGTCTTCAGCCATCTCTAAGGCATCTTTAGCTTCTCATCCTACTTACAGACCCTCATATGACCTAGCACAACCTCTAAACCCCAACTCATTCCCTTTGATGAAAGTTTGGGTTAGGCTTACCTCTCCGCTTATATCCAAAAATGCTTCCAAATGTCACGAGGGCTGCATAACCAAAACCAATCAGGTCCATTGGCAAGGTCGCAATTCTAAAGCAAGGGGGAATGGACAAATTATACAAAATAAAAAGTTTGGGGGAGGGAATGTATCTAAAAATGATATGCTCATATTATTTGGCTGTGTGTCCCCACCCAAATCTCATCATGAACTGTGATCATTAGTGTTGGAGGTGGGGCCTGATGGGAGGTGACTGGATCAAGGGGGTGGGTTTCTAAAGGTTTAGCACCCTCCCCCTAGTGCTGTCTCGTGATAAAGTTCTCACAAGATCTGGATGTTTGAAAGTGCGTAGCACTTCCCCCTTCATGCTCCTTCTCACTCCTGTCGCCATGTGAAGATATGCTTGCTTCCCCTTTGCCTTCTACCATGACTGTAAGTTTCCTGAGGCTTCCCCAGCCACACCTTCTATACAGCCTGCAGAAGTGAGTTGATTAAACATCTTTTCTTCATAAATTACCAAGTCTCAGGTAATTCTTTAGAGCAGTATGAGAATGACTAATACAAAGGCACTCCAAAGAATTAAGAGAAATAATTTCTCTAGTGTACTAAAGAAAGGGAGGTTCGGCCAGGCATGGTGCTCACGCCTGTAATCCTAGTATTTTGGGAGGCCAAGGCAGGCAGATGGCTTGAACCCAGGAGTTTTAGACCAACCTGAGCAACATGGCAAAACCCCATCTCTAGTAAAAATACAAAAAAATTAGCTGTGTGTGGTGGCATGTGCCTGTGGTCCCAGCTTCTTGGGATGCTGAGTTGGGAGGACTGCTTCAGCCCGGGAGGTTGAGGCTGCAATGAGCCATGATTGTGCCACTGCACTCCAGCCTGGGTGACAGAGTGAGACCCTGTCTCAACATGGCTTACAGGAAAAAAGAGATTCAAACTTCACCTCTCCCAACCCTCTACTGTCCCCTGCATCCTCATCACTGTTAAGCACACTCAGGGAGATACCTCAAGCTGATTCTCCTCTGCCTGTCTTCAGGATCTGCCATACTCTCAGCTGTTTAATTCTTTCTACTCCCCCAAATAAGCTCTAGTCAGTCAGGTCTCTTCACTGAACTATGACCCTATAATCTTCACTTTTCACTTCCATGACTGAAATGTCCTCCCTCCCTGTCCACCTACAAAAGCCCGACCATCCTCTGCACCCCACCTCCCTTTGAACGTTCTCCCCTGACTTCTACCCTTATTAACTGCCTCCTAATTTCCTTAACCCTAGCCTGTACTATCAAAGTGATCTGGAGCAAATAGCTTCTTCCTCCTCTAAATTCCTTGACTTCTACAACTCCATCTGATAATTCTTTCATGTTTTTACAGATATTAGTAGTACTCTCATCCTTTACAGATAGATGTCTTCTTGGAGATTGAATAATTCACTTTAAACAAATAATTCACTTTTTAAAGGATGGCTTTGTCATTAGTTTCCTTGCAAGATAGCTATTCTGTGGTAGTAGAGACATCTACACTTAATCAACAGAGAATATAATACATACAATATATACAATATAGCCCCAACTGAAGTTAAATGGACAACGATGGCATCCTACTGTGTATCAAAGCAGCAGCTGAAACACCCAGAGGTGAGAAATTCCATTGAAACCCTGCCCACAATTCTCTCAGATGCAGTAGTGTGCCAGCCACAGGCTAAAGAAGTGGCTCCTGGGCCTTGGACCATGCCCCTCCCTCACCCCCAACTCTCCCTGCAAGTGAGGAAAATAGATGAGAAGAGCTCTGGAGTTCTGTGCAGCTTTTTAAGTTCTAAGATTCCCAGTGGTGCCTTTATTTTTGAATTTTCTCACCTCTGTATTTCCTCCGCAGGGAAAGTAATCATCTTTGTAAATAAGAGGAATGGTACATGAGATCCCTTGCATATTTTTACAATTTTCCCCCTGCTTACCATTTAGGTTAATGGGCCTTTTATCTCCTGTAGCAATTGGTAACAAATTAATTTAGAAGAACAGAAAAAGGGGCCGGGTGAGGTGGCTCATACCTGTAATCCTGGCACTTTGGAAGGCAGAGGCAGGTGGATCACTTGAGATAAGGAGTACAAGACCAGCCTGGCCAACACAGTGAAACCCTGTCTCTATGAAAAATATAAAAAATCAGCCAGGTGTGGTGTGGTGGGTGCACGTCTGTAATCCCAGCTACTTGGGAGGCGGAGACAGGAGAATCCCTTGAACCTGGGAGGCAGAGGTTGCAATGAGGTGAGATCGTGCCATTGCACTCCAGCCTGAATGCACTGAGCCTGGGCATCTCAGAAGAAGGAGAAGGAGAAAGGAGAAACGAGGAAGGAGAAAGGAGGAAGGAGGAAGGAGGAGAAAGAAGAAGAAAGGAGAAGAAAGAAAAAGAAGAAAAATAGGAGGAGGAGGAGAGAAAGGGTTTTGAGCTGATCTCAGAGTCATCAACTAGCACTTACTATGAGGAAGGGTATGGGGGAGGGAATCTGAGGCACAGGAGATGACAGCACCAAATAGGAGGCAACACTGAAAAATGCTCAGTGTCTACAGGAAGGAAAAGTCAGGAGAGCTCATCTGTGCCCAAGAAGTGGTACAGTAGGATATAACATGCAGGGAGAACCTGGGTCTGAAAACCATTTGCTGACTGAATGATGGCTAAACAAATAATAATAATGAGGTTCATAATGTTTTTGAGCAATTACTATGTGCTAGGGGCCATTCTAAGGCATTCTAGGTGCCTTACATGTATCAACTCATGTAATCACAACCACACCCTATGGTATGTACTATCATGATTATCCCCATTTTCCAGATGAGGAAACTGAAGCATAGAGAAGGCAAGCAATGCCCAAAACAAAGATTTCCGACCAGGGGAAGTCTCAGTCCTAACCTCTATGCAATAGCACCTCTGATAATTGAGTTAGCTGCTGAAAAAAGTGAATATGTGAATCAAACATGTTCTTCAGAGTTTTCAAGTGAATCAAACATATTCTTCAGAGTTTCAATTCTGGATCAGTCACACGCTCTTCACAGCTTAAAGTTGTGACCACAGGGCACTGTGTCCCATCTGGCAACTTACAATGTTCAGCCCCATGAACTTCTCACGTTTGGTCCTACTTACTAAAGGAGCTAACCGTATGCCATAAAGTATGCTTATCTTCAAACCTGATACCACTACTTACTAGCTGTGGGATCTCAATAACTCAGTTTCTCCATCTTTAAAATAGGGATAATAAAAATATCTACATTATAGAACTGTTCTGAGCATTAAATGAGTTAATACTGTAAAGGACTTGGAACAGTGCCTAGCACCTGCTGAGCACTCAACAAACATTAGCTGGTCCAATAATGATGATTCGTCTCATTCACCCTTACACCTATTTTGAGCTTGACGTGTGTAAGGCTATTACTGTTTCAGCACGCTGAGAAAACTGAGGTAGGGGTAATTTATGATTTAGTTAATGAATCATACCATAATATTATAACATATATTTGTACTCAGTTCAACTTAACAGCTATTCATTGAGCATTTTCTTTGTGCAAGGCAGCAGGAAGCAATGGTAAGTGCTAAGACATGGTCTTGGTCCTCCAGGACCTATCGTACAACATAGCAGTAGGAGGCAGATGTGTAAATGTGTGTAAGAGGAGAGGTGTGGGTACCGTAACAAGTAGTGGCATCCAGCAAGGACTAGGAGCCTGAGGAAGGTTGTCCAGATAAGACAGGGTCCCAGCTGGGAACTTGGAGAGATGTTGTGCTGAACCCCTATTAACTTAGGGAAGGCAACAGGTTCAAGAGGCCGAAAGAGACCCAGAGCCAGCAAATGAGACGTGGGGTTTCATTAGGGGCTTACATACAGAGGAGAGAGTCCAGTGGCGGTGGGCTGGGCAGGAAAACAACCGCTTGCAAACGTCCTGCAATTTACATGGCCTTTTCACTTAACGCCCTCCCCTCAATGACCTCCACCTGGCAACCTTGATTTAACTCAAAATTCAGGGCCTCAATTCCCCGTGCGGCTCTTGCTCTATAGGACAGGCTGGGTAAGGGCTCAGATGTTCTTTATAGACAAGAAACAAATCTCTGGGTTGGACAGGCCCGGATTCCCTAGTTCAGAAAACACATTCAGGTCCATCTGTCACACAGGGTCATTGTAAGGGTATGCTTTAATTATTGCTGTCAGGTGCATTTACCCCACTGGAGAGCATACGTAAGTCAAGTGACAAGGGTGGCAGGGAAGGGTTTTCCTGGGGGGGAACATATGCAAGGCCCTAATGGCCCAAGAAAGCATGGCATGTTCTCAAAATGAAAAGTGCAAGAGGCTTGTGAAAAGAGAGGGTTCTGGTGAGAAAGACAGGGCTGTACACCCACGTAAGCCCCATGAAGGGAGACTGGTTCTGTTCTAAGGATCACTGAAGGAAGCCTCACAATCAGATTTTAATTCCAGCAAGCACTTCCCAGTTGCAGTAGTGAAGATTGGTTGTGAAGTGAAGCAGGGAGATAAACCGGGAAGCTGCGGCAATAAAGTAAGCAAGAGCTTAGTTGATAACGGTAGGTATATCTAGAGAAATGGCAATGAGAATGGAGAGAAGGTGAATAGATTTCAGAGGCAGGAGGTAGAATCAGCAGAATTGAATTCGAGGAGGGAAGGGAAACCAGGGGTGAATTAGAGATGACTCACCCCTAGGTCTCTGGCTTAGACCATGAGGAGAAGAGGCAGGGAGTCAGGAGCCTCATGCTATTCCAAGACAGAAAACATGGGAACAGCAACAGGTGTGGGGTGGGGGGAATAGGGGGGTGGCCAGGAATGATGGGACCTATTTGGAATGTATTCAGTCTGAAACGCCTGACCTCAGTCTGGAAAACACCCTTATGTACAAATGTGAAGCTTTTGAGAGGTCTTTCATTATCAGGTGTAACTTTCAGAACTAATTTTCTCCTAAAGCCAAGTATCTGTTGTGAAAGACTGATTCCTCTCATCCTGAGCCCCCCAGCTCTTCCTGCGACCTTCTCTTGGGGATCCATACCTTTTTACTTGGTTTAGAATTACTTATGTTGGGATTCTCTCACCTCTCAGCCAGCCAAGCTCCTTACAGGAAAACCCAGGTTCAATTTATCTTTGTCCTCCTCAGAGCACCAAGAACCCTGCCCTGCACAAGGCAAGTACTTAAAATACGAGTTAAATGAATAAATGCGTGCTGAACCAAAGAAACAGCTGCCTGAAGACATTCTGTAGCTGACCTACACAATACAGCTTTATCAGCAGGAAACAGGCAGCTCCTTAATCTCCTTAGTGAAATGACTGTTGTTATAAGGAAGCAAAATAAATCTATTCCCAATGCTTTCAAGAAGATTCTGTTCTTACAGAGAAAATTCAGACAAGAGCAATCACCTTTTCCATGATGGAGGGAGGTGGCCAGGCCAGAAGCACACATTAAAGCCAGAGACTTAATGTGGAAGGGATAAGGTGGGCGAGGATGTGCTCAGCACATAACACACTCTTATCACAAATGCGATGCTCAAGCCTTGGAAGGGCTAGAAAGCATCTTGGATGCAATACAGCAAAGCGATTTACCATACCACCTACAAAACAAGGTGACAGGGGCCAGCCTCGCTGCCAGCTCCAAGACCTTCAAAATTTGGAGAACTAGATTTTCTGTTAACTATTATATAAAAAGCATTTTCACATGCTAAAGGTGTAACAATTACCTACCCCTGACCTCTTTGAGGACACAAAAGGTACATTTCGAGTGGGGTCCTGAGGTTAAAATCCTGCCAAACATTTTGTAATGGTCCATGAGCCCACCCACTACCCCAGCTCCAGGAAGGTAGGAGGCAGGATAGGTGGGATATTTAGGGATACGAGAAGACAGAAACTCGGGAAATTCCCAGGAGGAAGAGAAAAATGATACCGGGGAGGGAAGACCGAGGTCCTGCAAAATCCCCTCAAGGTCCTCCGCGTCGTCGTTTGCTGTGCAGATTTGGCGCGGGGGAGGGGATACCTGCTAAGCAACGCCCCTTATATTTCTGCGGTTGTGTAAGAAAATTCAGAGCAGGAAGGTCTCCATTGCGGGATGCACAGCTCACCTACAGCCCAGCAAGCGCGATACCTGGAGTCCGGAAGCAGTCTCCGCGCCAGCGCGGTCCCACCCTGCGCCCAGCAGTCTCGCGCTGAGCGGAGGCCGCTCCCTCCCGGAGACGCCCTTCCTGCCGCGCGCATGCGCCATGTTCCTTCTCGCCTTGCAGTGCTCTGCGCAGCCCAGCCCTGCGGGGGAATCGGGGCGGCTGGTAGGCCAGGCAGCCTGGAGCCCCTGTGCTGTAACGTTCTGGCGGCAGCGTGACCCGTTGCTTTGTCTGTCCTGCCTTCGGCCCTATCCTGGAGTCAGGACTGGGGTTTGCTGCCTCCCGCCTACTATGTCTGCATATAGCCAAGATTACAGAAGGGGAAGATATTTAAGTGACTCCATTCATCATTCAAGGGACATTTCCAGGACCTCTAAAAGGCAACCCGAGGTCTTTTACATACCCTCCAGCAGATTGCTCCATTGTCAGTGGAGGGAGAAGATTCAGTGAGGTGAAGTGATTCAGTTTTCCACGGTCAGAATCCAAGTTTGCCTGGTTTCAGAGCCCGAGCACCCTTCATTACACTATGGGATCATCTAGATGTGGTTGGGAGATCAGGATCCTGGTTTTAAACTTCAGGCCCAGGATTTGCCGGGCTTAGATATCTACAGAAAAAGTATAGAATTCCAGAGTGGGAAAGCACTTAAACTCTTGTCTAGTCCAAGGCAATCTGCTCAATCCCAGAAACGAACTTTAAATTGATTTTTTGATACAAGATCTCAGTTGGTCGTCCAGGCTGGAGTCCAGTGGTGCCACCTCGGCTACTGCAACCTCTGCCTCCCGGGTTCAAGCGATTCTGCTGCCTCAACCTCCCAAGTAGCTGGGATTACAGATGTGTGCCACCTCACCTGGCTTATTTTTATTTTTGTTGAGATGGGGTTTCACAATGTTGCCCAGGCTGGTCTTGAACTCCTGAGCTTGAAGCAATCTGCCCGGCTCAGCCTCCCAAAGTGCTGCGATTACAGTTTAAATTGACTTTAAATTATGCCTCCCTGTAACAATTTCTCTCATTCTTTTGCCTTCCTGGTTGAATACATAACTCCAACCCTCTTCCTTATGTAACAGCTCTTCAGAGATATGAACACTGTAATCTAGGAGTGTAACAGCTCTAAAGGTTCTGTCACTGAGAATTAGAGCAGAATTCCTCAGGAAAAATAAAGGAAACTCAAAGATTACATCTTGTGAAATTTGTTTGCTACATCTATTCCCGTGCATAAAAGTGCTTCAGAGAAGTGATGTAATACATCTAACTTATGAGAAGTGTGAGTGGGTCCTGGGGAATTAGTAACATTCCTGAAGATTCACAGAGGAGTTGATGGCAAGGCACTGGAATCCGGCATGAACAAAGTGATAGCCTGAAGTTTGGTTGAGTTCTCCCAGCACTCCTTCCCAACCCCTTCTATGCCCATCCTTACCCCAGTCTCCCCCCTTCTCTCCTCAAACTCTCAGAACACTGCCTATTTGAAATAAAACTAAAACCTTCTTGGAATGCTTCAGTATCTTCATCTGCTGTGACCTGCGTAAATAACTCCCCTCGGACCTCAGTGCCCCAATTTAAGATATGGCCAAGGCTAGATGCTCTGAGATCCTTTCCACCCTGCCACTAACACACTCAAAGCTGGAAACAGCCTCATGATATTCCTACTCAAGGCGTATCTTCTAAACCTAAAGAACAATCTCTTTGTATATTATGGGAATTCCGTTCCCTTGAATATGTGGGAACAGGATGATTCTTAGGCAAAGGGACCACTGCCCTCTCAACTCAGAGGCACTAGGTGCTGCCTTCTCCAGCTAATGGAAAGGCTGCAGCCCAAGGTAAGGATGCAGACAAGCCAATTCCCTACAACCAGTTCATAGAGCTTTCTATGCATGATCCACAGCAGAGACTCTTAGCTTTCAAGGTGACACTAACCCCTTTGGCAGCCTGGAAAAGTGCACAAAATACATAGGATTGCAAAGGAAGTCAATTTTATTGAAATGCAGTTATCAAATTGTTGAACATTTAAATCTATATGTGCTTCTTTATTAACATATTAAAGATTACAAGACCTAGGAGGTGGATCTAATTATTATCATAATTTCAAAGTAGTGCTGCACATATTTTAAGATATCTGTAACATGGATATCTGTGATTCCTAGTGATGACAGAGACACAGATACTAATACTGCTGTGGTTTGTTGCCTATTTTCCTAACAGAAAGAAATAAAAACTTCTTTTTCCCATAGATGTTTTCAGATTTCCTGATTGCAATCCTCAGGCCCCTCTAGATTCACAGATCCCAATTTAAGAACTCCCAGTCTATAGTAATGCAAGTTTTCCTAAGTTGTACATAGGTGGAATCAGAGAAAGGGAAGCAAAGAGAAGAGCCTCACTGACTGACGGACTGATAGACTGACTGGCTGGCTGCTCAGGCAGGGCCTCACGGATGGTTACTACACCCTGTGGATCCGGAGCCTGCTCCTCATTTTCAAATGTTCGGAAACTAGTTTGTCTCAGTTCTTCCAGGAGCACCCTGGCTTTTGAGAGACAGATTCATAAAAATCAAAGTCACAAGGGACTTACTGATTTTAAGGCCTACTTCAGATTCTTGATTTTTCTCCTTTCAGATCCCAAACAATGTCAAATGACATTATTCTTATCCTTTGAAGATATGATCTTATGGCAGCGTAACGTTTTAGCATCTTTTCTGTGGCTCACTGCAATGACAGCATCTTGTAGGCACACTTCTAAAAAGGTTATCACCTTCCATTTCTGTGAAGTCAAAAATCTCCTTAAGTGCTTCTGCACTTTTTGAGAAAACTGAAAAGTAACCAAAAGCTTTTAATTATTTTATTATCAAAGTCTCAACACTGCGTTTAAGCAATTCACATCCCTTTGAGGCAGTGTTGTATGTAAGATGTATGAGGCACTGAATGGATAAGATCTTTTCATTTTCTTTATAAGAAGTTTGTAGAGTGAATGGAATTTGACAAAATTTACATATGTAAGTCTATCATGCAGATAGGCTAATTCTAGTTTGTATTTAGGCAAAATATCAACAATAGTTTATGATTTCAGCAGTTTCATTAAAATCCTCATAGAAATGAAGAAGATGACTTGAAACTCCTGTTTTCAAATAAGGTACTTAACAGAGGGAACATATTTTTGCTGCCATTATTCAGCATATTACTTAAAACTGATGTACTATACAAAGCAGAATTGTTGGTGAGGTATGACAGAATTGGCCTTACACTATAAAAGGCCAACGCGTGTGTTATCAAAATTCCCCTTTTGTTTTCCCAGAGGCTATTTTAGCTGCAATTCCTGAATCAGGAAATGAAAGTTTACTCAGTTTCATAGAGCAATCAAAGGAATGCTGTGACAAGGCATGCTTGTCTGCCTGGTATGCCCAAGCTAATTCAGCAGCTGCTATTTTTGACTGAGCATTGGTATCTTTGGAGAAACCAAGGTATTTTTGACTGGTTTAGAAGCATTCACTTGTCCCATCTTACTGGTGAGATTTGGTCTTCAGAGGTGCTTTCACATCCCTTCTCCATCATGTCCAGTCTCAAGTTTTTTTCCTGCATATTATGCAGTATGCTCCGTTTTGATTATTTACCTTCCTAATAATTTGTGTCCTTCCATCCAGCATTAAAAGTACATCGTCGTTTAGCCTTCTTCAGTGATGGGGTCATGGTTGCATTGGTATTATAATCATTCTCATTATCTGACCTCTTAGAAAACATGGTCAAAATATTCACAATGTTAAAAAATTAAACTGGCACCGTCTTGTTGCAAAGCACACCAATTAATCCGCAGGCAAAGTCAAAGATGAACTGTTAATATTCGTTATATACACTTAAGCCACATCACTTTGAATGATGCAACAATGGATGGATGACCATTCTGAACTACAAATTATGTGTGCCAGTAGCAGTGGTCAAATGGGTGACAACAGTAAAGATGATGGACCATCTGTGCCATATCCCTTTGGTACTAAAGACAATGTTGCTTTCAGCCCCTCTAAAACTTATGGGTTTTGTACATTTCCTGCAACCTTCCACACTTGTTGCCAAAACCAGGATTATTCACATTCCAGGGAAGGGTTTCCCAGGACACAATGCTCTCAGTGCTAAAATTGGGATGGCTGTTTACCCTATTGGGTTGCCATTAACCCAAGGGTACCTCTCCAGAGGTAGGAGGGGAGGCACATGGAGCTAGAGACTCCTCACCCTGCTTCCACTAATGGTGTTAAACTTCTCTAGAATATTTCTCACAGGTCCCTCTTCTTTCAGGGGTGATGAAAACAAGACGTTGTCTTTTGTTAGACTTCGGATTTACCGAAAGCTCAAGGGCCTCCATGTGGAAAAAACAGGCAAAATTCAGGTCCAGTGCCTTCCCCTGGCTCAGGTCCTAAAGGAGACTCAGAAAAGAAAGCCATCCAAAGGCAAGAAAGGAGGAGAAAGCAGCTCCATTGACAACTCCACCAGCCAAGGAAGAAAGAAAAAAGCATCTACGGGTGGCTGGTTGGGAGCATAAACCACATCCCGGGGAGAAACTCTCCTCCCAAACTCACCAAAGTATTTCCTTACCTTCTTCTCAGTGGCTTCGGGGGTTCAGATGCCCTGTAAAGATTTTCTTCACAGGACAGTTCTTCATGACAGTGGTTTTTTGGGGTTCCATGCTATGGCCACCCACCTGTGCTCCTTCTGATCTAGTATCTGTTCCAACAGAAGGGTAGGTGGATCAATCATCCAGATTTGCCAGGGACTAAGGGGTTTGGGGACTTTCAGGGCTAAAACCAGAAGTTTGCTAGGAAGCAGGACTGTCAGAGCTACAACCACAACTAAGGGATTTCCCAGAATAAGAGACTTTTAGCATTAAAATGGGATGGTGCAGTTTCCCACAACGCAAGACTTTCAGTGCTAAAACGTGGACAATTTCTTCTGAGAAGGGGTTAGGTAGACTCTGGTTCTAATTCTCATTGGCACTTCTTAGTAGCATTACTGGAGGCTGGCTCCTTCTGAGCCACAAGATTCCATTACAGGTGGAATACACAAAATACAGGTACCCAAAATATTTCACCCCTCCAAACACACTACCCTCTACCCAAGCCAGACTTCCCAATTTCCTCCAACACA